TAATAATTGAGAAATAAAAATAAGGGGAAAAAATGAAAAAGTTGATAGAAAGAAACAATTTATGGTGACGTTTCTGCCGCGTGACCAGGCTGGTCCGGAATTAACGTAAATACGTATATATATATATACACACACATATAGAATGTGGGTCGTTTTCACTGCATTCTCATCGACGGCTTCTTGGTGCATTGTGAGTAAATTAGGTCGTTGCGACTGCTGATATTGATCGCGTGTACAATGTCATTGAATAGTTAACCGATTTGTTAAGTCTTCGCCGAATGGTAGTAACGTAACCAGCTGGAAGAAGTGACTTCGAAGTAGCATCAGTGGTAATCGTTCCTGTGAACATTCGATTATCTCCCGTTTCTTGCTTAGAGTGTACACTTTGGTTCTGTATTCCCCGAGGAACATGCGCCACTTGCACTAGAATTCTCTTGTATCGAACGGATTGTACTTTGTTTCCGTGTCCAAAGAGTTTTACAAAATTCTAAAGAACTGCGAAGAATTTTAAAGAATTTTGCAGGATTCCAGAGAACCGTGAGGAATTTTAGCAAATTTGCAGAATTCTAAAGAGCTCTGAAGAATTTTACGGAATTTTATAGAATTTCAGAGAATTCTAAAGAAGTTTAAGGAATTTTAAAGAATTTTACGGAATTCTAAAGAACTCTAGGGAATTTTAAGGAATTTTAAAGAATTCTAAAGTATTCTGTGAAGTCTTTAAAGAATTTTGCAGAATTCTAAAGAATTCTGAAGAATTTTAAAGAATTCCATTCTATTCTAAAGAAGTCTACGGAATTTTACAAAGTTCTAAAGAACTCTGAGGAATTTTACAGAATTTTAAAGAATTTTGCAGAATTCTAAAGAATTCTGAAGAATTTTAAAGAATTTCATTGAATTCTAAGGTAGTCTGCAGAATTCTACAGAGTTCTAAAGGACTCTAAGAAATTTTACAGAATTTCATTGAATTCTAAGGTAGTCTGCAGAATTCTACAGAGTTCTAAAGGACTCTAAGAAATTTTACAGAATTTTAAAGAATTCTAAAGTACTCTGAGAAATTTTAAATAATTTTAAAGAATTCTAAAGTACTTTGTGAAATTTTAAAGAATTTTGCAGAATTCTAAAGAACTCCGAAGAATTTTAAAGAATTTCATTGAATTCTAAAGAGGTCTATGAAATTTTACAGAGTTCTATAGAACTCTGAGGAATTTTAAAGAATTTTATAAAATTCTAAAGAACTTTAAGAGAAATTTTAAACAATTTCACAAAATCCCGAAAATTCTGAAGGCTTCTGGAGGATTGCAAAGAATTCCAAAGAAATGAGAAAAATTCTAAAGAATTCTAAAAATTTGGAATATTTCCACGGAAATGTAAAGATATCTAGAAAATTTTCAAGAATTCTAAATATTTTAGGAAATCCCAAAAATTCTAAAAAATCCTATAGGATACCAAAGAATTCTAAAAAATTCGAAAACATCTGAAAGATTTTAAAGGGTTCAAGGAAATTCTAAAGAATTCTAAAAAGTTCTTTAAAAAAGCAACTAAAAATCTGTTTACTGCTTTACATCGATTCGTCTCACGATAATTTCATACGTAATAATTCAAATTTATAAATCAGTCGTTTCGTAACGAATTCTTCATTAGTATAATAAAAATGATGTAATAACGAGAATTAAAACTTTCCAATGAAATATATATAAATGAAAATTCGAAGCATTAATAAAAATTAATATCTATTAATAACACGTGAAAATTTATTTATTTCTCTTATTTGCCATATTTATAACACTAAAAGTATAGCATATTCTTGATCCTGTGTTCCTTGAATTTGATTTCTACTCTACAATATCGTCCACGTGTATTAATATTTTATTTTAATAAATAAAACACACCGAAATCTGTATCAGTGTCAAACAAAAATATTTAACTATTAATCAAATTCTCATTTATATATTTTTCAATATATCTTACAATTATACCACGTGCCAAATCAAGCGAATTAAAAAATATATCATTATATTTTCCTTCGATGAAAATGGAAAAATAAACGCGTATAAAATTTTCCATCAACGTCTTATTATTTATGATTTTATTTAATCCAATTTCGTAATTCATTAAGAAATATCAATTTTATAACCACAATCAAAAACGTCCAAAAGAAGCATTTTTTCTAGGTACCACTCGCTCTGGTTACGTCACCACTCAACATTGTAGCGTATCTGCATAAGTGTTAACACTGCATTTGGTAATAAATACATTCGAAGCAATTATAGACCGTATCAGTCTCACGAGGACACGTCGAGAAACGAAATTGTAACTAAACAATGCTTTAATTCTGTGCCACAAATTTAGCATATAATTAATAAACCCACTAATTCTTCTCAAAGTCGTCTTCGTTCAATGATTAAGTTTTTGGAACGTGAAATAACCAATTCACTAATTTCATATATATTTTCAATTAAAACAGACATGTTTCCTTCTTCTTACAAAGATCATACAAAAATATACTAATCTATTTAAAAATAAACACGTATAATTTTTTGATATCGATAAATAATCGAATTAAAAGTTCAGCAAAATTTGAATTTCTTTTTCTCACGTTTCATACGACTTCCAGAAACTTATAGTTAATCATAAATTTATTAATATACAATTTAACCTTCTGTAACGTCACTGTAATTTAAAAATTATACAACCAGACAAATTTTTATCTCGAAAGCTGTTAAAGACTTGGAATTAATTAAAATAATGAAAATTAGAATTCATTTTAATTTTCCTCTCACGAATAAACAGATTTTAGATTATAGAGGGTTAAATTCCAGCAATCTGTCTCTTGTATTACCTAAGTGTCGGTGTTAATTTAGTTCCTGTATATATAGGTTTATTTTATCGATCACTATCCTTTTACTTGTGTACACGAGTTTTACGATAATTCGCCATTTTGGTTCCCTTGTGATCGATCAACGAGAACAGAATTCGACGGATACACGAGCGATCGAGAAACAGAAATCGCGTTTGCGAATTCACGGTATTAACGCGAAATGGAATGAAATCGAGTCAGACAAATTTCTTCGTAGGTTATGTGAGGAAAGTCATTGTCTGCGATCGAGAGAAATCGCGAGAGCGAGTCGAAAGCTATCGAGAAGATAGTCAAGTCTACTGTGACATCGTGAATATCGCGACACACGAAGGTAGAAGGAATAAATGTATCGATAAACGAACGATTCTTTTACCAATACGCGCCAATACGTCGTAGCATGAATTTCGTTATACTTAAGTGATATAAGTAAGGTTAAATGGAAAAGGGAAGATGAAGAAGGGATGATAAAGATCGTAGCGAGTAAAACATTAAATAGTATTCTCTTTGGCGTTGTTACGTAAACTTTCGAGTAGTCTTTGTTCTCGTTTCGAGGAATAATGGTACACGTAATGCCCGCAAGGGGGAGAACACATGCGGCCATCTTGGAACTTACGTATAATTTATCACTACGAATACTGTGTTGATATATCATTGGCATTGTTAACAAAAAATGAGGATCTACATGTAAATAAACATAAAAAGCATTTTTATAAATAACCTTGGTCGTTTTGATACTAACCCTAACCTCTAAACGTTAATCGCGAGATAAAATAATCGTTGAAATTCGCCTTCTCTTCGAGATTTATTAAATATCTGCATTTATACTCTTTTATTTTGATTTTTCTTGAATAAACAGTATGATTTGATTTTGTTATCCGTGAAACACATTGGAGGTTAGTTTAAAACGAAATAAGTAAAAGAGACCCTAAATATCGAGAGTTACGGTAACTCCATTTTTCATTTTGATCATTTAGATTTGTTTATTATGTCGAATAATGAAGGGAAATATTATTTCGAATTTTTGTAACGGTTTAATAAATATTTGAATTTTCTTTTTTAAAAAAATATGGTGAAAAAGAGACTCTAAATACTGGATATTATAATATATCAGTTAAAATGATTTATTCCAAATTTTTTGTTTTTGCAGTTACTGAAGCGTGCAACTGTTTTTAGCAAATTTATGTTCACTTTTTATTGAGATAAAAACGTAATTACATATGATTATTTATCCTTATCGTATCACTTTAATTGGTATTATCTGTGAGTATTATATTTAGGTATATATTGCAGGTCGATAACTTTAATGTTAATAAGATAATACAGCGACAATGGTTCTGTACAGGTGAAGATATAAGAGAGATCTGGAGATCATTTTCTTTTTTTCTTTTATATATCCATTTTTTTATTATTTTATAGTATAAACAATTCTAATTATGAAATTATCATGGTAAGTTTATTATAAAATTTAATTCTTGAAAATAGACTTTATTCTTATTTTTCTATTACTCTTTTCCCTCTTTCTATTATTTTCTGTTACTTATATTATGAAATATGTTCGAAGTCACGAATCTCCTTAAAGTTGAATAGAATTAACGATATATTTT